CATAAGCCATTTTATATTGTGAGATATTGGGAGTGTTTTTGCAGTTGGTGCCTCTTTTGAAAACACTTCCAACACGAAGTTAGCAGTTCTGGAATTCCTGAACATGAATCTTGTATTCCGGTTGTCTCTACCCCGAACATCCTAAGACACGGCAACTTGACAGCAAGGTGATTGAAGTGAACCACCTTGCCGGTGCTATGTATGCCATTAAGGGGGGCTCAAATACCACTGCATGGCAGGGCAAGTGTAGGATGTGCTTTGCCGCTGGAACAAACTTATAAGCTCCAAACAAACTTGCCAACCAAGGAGTCTGGAATAAATCGCACTTTTCCTTTCCTAAAAACAAAATCATGATGAATAATGCATCCAACAGAATTGGCGACTTAGCCAGTCTCCAGGGCTCAAGTGCTGCACTAAGATCATTGGCTTGCGCCGCTAAACATGGCGCGGGCCATCCGATGCTCACGACGTGGATGGATGGCAATCGCATTTCTGGTTGCAGCACGGTGGATATCCACCAGCTATGTCCCGTCATGGTGGCAACAAGGATGGCCACAAGAGCATCTTGACAGCGTAGCTGAAGGCGAACTACTGGCACCCTTGGCAGATTTGTTGATGCCACAGATGCCAATTCGGGAGCTTTTTCGGAGCTTTCCAGCCCCAGAGGATTGGGGTGGAGGGTCTTTACAACCAGATTTGGCAGCACATGGAGTTCTGCGAAAGAAAGATGCTGCGCTATTTGTGGAGTATGACGGATATTATCGGCATGGGGAAAAGGCAGGTGTTGCAAGGGATAAAGCCAAAAATGGTGCACTGCTTGCGTTTGCTCCTGAAGGGTCGCTTGTGATCCGTATCAGCCACACCACGAAGAGGGCATTGAGGGGCAATGTGCTTTGGATGAAAGTGGACCCATGGCGTCAAGGTGACAGAAAGACCCTTTCCAAGACATTGACGATCATTTTGCAAAAGGGAATGAATGCTGTTGGAGAGCTTTTGCGCCCAGATGTATTGAGACGGATGCAGCAAGCAATGCAGCTCTATATGTTTCCTATTTCTGCACGTGCGTTGGACTTCGTGAATGAGGCAAGAGTACGCGGATGTGGCAACACGACCCAAGAAATATCATATTTTCTGGTTGACACCGGTTTTTCCATCCAAGATGCAGACTTGATGCTTGGTGCTGGCTTGAATGGAAAATGCATCAAAGAAACGCTGCAACCAAGGATTCACTGGCTAATGTGTTTGGGGCTCACAAAGGGTCAAGTTGCGAAGGTCGTAGCTGGTTCTCCCAAATTGCTTGGCTGCAGCATTGAGCAAAATTTGCAGCCCACAGTGCAATGGCTACTGACCTTGGGATTAACAAAGGGTCAAGTTGCGAAGGCTGTAGCTGGTTTTCCCCAATTGCTTGGATACAGCATTGAGCAAAATTTGCAGCCCACAGTGCAATGGCTACTGACTTTGGGATTAACAAAGGGTCAAGTTGCGAAGGCCGTAGCTGGTTTTCCCCCATTGCTTGGATGCAGCATTGAGCAAAATTTGCAGCCCACAGTGCAATGGCTACTGACCTTGGGATTAACAAAGGGTCAAGTTGCGAAGGCCGTAGCTGGTTTTACCCCATTGCTTGGATGCAGCATTGAGCAAAACTTGCAGCCCACAGTGCAATGGCTACTGAGCTTGGGACTCACAAAGGGTCAAGTTGCGAAGGCCGTAGCTGGTTCTCCCCAATTGCTTGGCTACAGCATTGAGCAAAATTTGCAGCCCACAGTGCAATGGCTACTGACCTTGGGATTAACAAAGGGTCAAGTTGCGAAGGCTGTAGCTGCTTTCCCCCCATTGCTTGGCTGCATCATTGAGCAAAATTTGCAGCCCACAGTGCAATGGCTACTGACCTTGGGACTCACAAAGGGTCAAGTTGCAAAAGCCGTAGCTGGTTTTCCCCGATTGCTTGGCTGCAGCATTGAGCAAAATTTGCAGCCCACAGTGCAATGGCTACTGAGCTTGGGACTCACAAAGGGTCAAGTTGCGAAGGCCGTAGCTGGTTCTCCCCAATTGCTTGGCTACAGCATTGAGCAAAATTTGCAGCCCACAGTGCAATGGCTACTGACCTTGGGATTAACAAAGGGTCAAGTTGCGAAGGCTGTAGCTGGTTTCCCCCCATTGCTTGGCTGCAGCATTGAGCAAAATTTGCAGCCCACAGTGCAATGGCTACTGACCTTGGGACTCACAAAGGGTCAAGTTGCAAAAGCCGTAGCTGGTTTTCCCCGATTGCTTGGCTGCAGCATTGAGCAAAATTTGCAGCCCACAGTGCAATGGCTACTGAGCTTGGGACTCACAAAGGGTCAAGTTGCGAAGGCCGTAGCTGGTTCTCCCCCATTGCTTGGCCTCAGCATTGAGCAAAATTTGCAGCCCACAGTGCAATGGCTACTGAGCTTGGGACTCACAAAGTGTCAAGTTGCAAAGGTTGTAGCTGGTTTTCCCCAATTGCTTGGCTGCAGCGTCGAGCAAAATATGAAACCCAAGTATGTCCTGCTACTCCATACATTCGGGGTTGAAGAAATTGCAAGCATGATTGTGCGACAACCGCAAATCCTTGGATACAGTATGACTCGCCTTACTGAACGGATGCACATTCTTTCAGATCGCAATCTGACCGCCAAACTGCCCTCGGTCATGGCCCTGACGGAGGCAAACTTTCAAAGACGTTTCGGAGACTGATGCTGAATTTCAATGCTTGCCTTGTCACGCATGCCCATCAACCTTTACAGTATTTAATATTTGTTACTCGTTTATACTTGTTTTGGTACAATTAATCTTGTGGTTGTCGAGCGCTACGGCAAATCCAACCGGATCCGAGTCTGCATGCCTTGGCGAAGAGAAGGCCAGAAAAACCATGACACTCTGCAGGCTGCAGGAACTTATCACAGACAATAATATCAAAACAATAACTTGCACGTAGTTCGGAATAGGTTTCTGGAAGGTAACTCCCCAGTAGTCTTAGTAACATTATGCACTTTCATATCCTTCTATACATTATATTGTATCCTGTGGTTGGATACTTCGTAATGTAGCAATTCTTCACTCCAGAGCGTGACAAGTCTCTGGCGGCGTAATTGCATGTAATTGCGATTTGCATGTGTCGTGTGAGTTGTTGGCCAAGACATACTCGTGAACCCGATGTGGCGGTTGAGTAAATCATGGAAGCAAAATGCCATGGTGACCCCAATCGACAGCTCATGCGACATCCATCGATCCATTACATTTGTGACTCATTGGCAACCCAATCTTTCAGGCCCAAAGTTTTGTGGCATGCTCAGTCAATTTCACGGAGTTGAATTGCGGCATTTATGATCCATTCAGTTCAACCCTCACCTGCGATTCTTTCTCTTGTTGGTTATCTCATCATATCTCATCTATGTCAAACACATGGATTTTACAGTTTTTTTTTTTTTTTAAAGGGATTTGTGGATTTTATGATTCATGTGAACCTATATCTATAATTATCTATATATTTATATACATTGATTTATCGTGATTTTAAAAGAGATTTACACGGATTCCAAAGGGGATATTGTAGGCATTTCTAGGGTCTTTATAGGGATTGTAAAGGAATCTCATAAAGATATATGATATATACTGTATTCTTTTTGAAGGGATTTAACTATAGGGATTTATAGGGGTTTTAAAGGGATTTATAGTGATTTAATAGGGATTGATTTATAGGGTTCTAACGGGATCTATAGGGTTTTAAAAAGGGATTTATAATGATTTGTAAGGATTTTATAGGGACCTTGTAGGGATTTATTGGGATTTTGTAAGAATTTCTATAGGAATCCATATTATGGGATTTCAAGGGATTTTATACATCCAGGTAGGTCCCCTTAGGATAATGTATACATCTATAGGCTTATAAGGATAATCATCAACATCAGGGTTCAACTCACTTAATCATCAAAAAATTGGATGTTATAATCTCTTCCCACTAATGTAAAATATACCAATAGGGACCCCAACAAATAAATCCAACGCTCAACTATGGTTCCTAAAGGGGTATTTGATACAAGGGTGGAGGAATTTATCCCTTCACACTACCATTTAGAAATGAAACATGGCTGGCTGGGAACGCATTTACATGGGCAATTAACCTACGTACGTACAAAAGGGGTATTTCGATTGAAGTTGGGGTTGTTAAATGGGCATATACCCTGTTATAGGGCCCGTATAACTACCGTTAAATATCCACTTATACCTGGAACTGCACCCCCCAAGTACTTATCCCTTTCCCCTAATATTGAATACCCCCACAGAAACCCTGAGAAATGTGGTAAACATGATGATGAACCTCCAATTTTGGAGGGCTACCACCTATTTCTGGCGAGTCATTGGGGATGGTTTAGGGCTTGGGGCTGACCACATGAACCTCATATTTGGACGTGCTTCACAGGGAGAAAGTGGGGTAGTACGCATTTCCGTACAACCCATTTACATGGGGGATATACCCTAGTTCCGAAAAGGGGTTAGTAGCCACGGATCCCAATCAGGACGCATAATTTCAAGTAAGATTGAATACCACTCAGAACCCCTGGTTGGGTATTGGCGTCCCGCATTGGGGGCTGCTGTGCCAACATTGTCACTTGAGCTGCAGGTGGAAAGCGCACAGGTGGTGGACTACGCCTGGGGCCGACCGTTGCCGGAGGATGGGGGCATGGGAACATGAAGCAACAGGGGACTTGGATGGGGATGGGGATGGGGATGGGGATGGGGAGGATGATGATGATGATGATGATGATGATGATGATGATGATGATGATGATGGAAGCGGAAGCGGAAGCGGAAGCAGTGGCAGTGTCACTGCAGCATCATGATTCTCCCTTCACCGTGCCCCTTTTTCTCCTTCCTTAAGGTGGCAAGATGTTCCTTTTCCGTGGCCATTTTCGCATCAACTTTCTCACTATCTTGAGGCCATTTTCGCACACATTTCAGGCTCAAGAGAGATCATATTTTCCAACTGCTCTTTTACCAAAAAACCATGTCGCACCTTCTTCGCCTGGGACTTTGGGGAGTTTGCTTCCTTGCGGTATCAGTCCCAGGGGATGCGGCCCTGAACACCACGGGCAAAATTTGTCAGTGGGGCTGTTGGGATGAAGAGGATGAGGCCTGCCATGCTGGGCTGAATGCAGCTTGGATGAGTTTTGGGCCATCCATTTGGGTAAGTTTGACGCCGAAGTCGCGAGCAAACCCTGGAATGATGGGAATTGTAAGGATAACTATCCGAAGAAGAAGAAGAAGAAGAAGAAGAAGAAGGAAGCTTATTTTAGCTCAGTGAATTATAATATAATATTATATATATAATTCATCCAGAATCAATGGATGGAAGACGTCAGGCATCCAACGAGTCGGGGAGTGTGAACAGTGTGAACCAAGAGTTTAGATGGGCACACAACGTTGAATGGTTGGTCAAAAGAGGTGATTTTTCAGCCATTTTCAAATGGGAAATGAGTGAATACATCTCTGAAGAGGTGAAGATGGATCCATGATCTTCCCAATTCACTCTGGGATGCGTGCGTTGAACGGGTGGAATTCCCGAAAAGTGGGCAGGGATGAAGCAACAGCTTGCTTAAAGAGCCAGTTTTGAGGTTCAGTACGAAGTTTCACAAGTACTAAATTATATTACAGGAAGTATCA